CGAGGGGCTCGTGTCTTGCTCTTCGTTCTTTCCCTCAAATGTTTTCTGATCACTTCTAACGGCAAGGTTTTGTTTGCCGTCTGTGCGGAGACGGGAGAAGCTTGTTTGAATCCCTGCAAGCTTCTGTTTTAAGTCCTCCACGGTTAAACGTCGAAGTCTCCGTCGTTGAAGAAACTGGGGATAGTAATGATAGAAGCAGAAACGTCTGAAGGCTCAGCTTTGATGAATCCTTTGGTTTGTTCTTTTTTTCCCTCCGTCCTTGTTCTAAAAATAAGAACACGTGGAGGAGTGGAAGGCTCAGAGTGCATGGCTCCTAACCATTTCACCGGTCTTTACTCTTGCCAACTTGTCAGATTGATAGAATTAAGAGATCCAGGGATTCTTAGAATTTCATAGTTTAACTTCAGCATGGAAAACAAAGAAAAAATTGAACAGTATGCATGGTAATAAATGCACCAAATATGATTTTTTGTATGAACTAAGGTATTCATAATACCTTAGTTTAATTCTTATGATAGCAAGAAGAGCTAGTAAAAGGTCATATAAAAATGGATATTACATATATTTCCATTTCTATATATTTCTACTTTTTTTCTGGAAGAAAAGAACAGTTTCAACATTTCCAGAAACTTTATGTCTCTGGCTAATTTTTTTTCCTGTCTGTAATTTTTTTCTCTTGTCTTGAGAGTTGGATTTCAGCTCTTAGAAGCTCCATATTTTAGCCATGCTGCCTGTAGATGACAGGAGTTGGAGTCAAAACATATCAGGAAGCCACTAGGTTTGGGTAGGTGAAAAGGAAGATCAGTTAGGGAGAAGGAAGTATTATTGCCTAATTTAAATATATAGCATTAGGATAATTTCTTGTTTCAAGCCTTAATTTAATATGCATGTTTGGGAATATACTTTAATTATTTTATTTTCAGACTTGGTTACTCATAACACAGTAACATATTACTGAAACATTGATTATTGTTATGATTTAGGCAACAAACAAAAGAATAATTTGAAAAAAATCACTCTCTATTCCATATATTTTTAATAATTGTATTGCAGTTTTTAAAAAGAAATAGAGAAAACAATGTACAGAAGCAAATTAAAATAAGGTTTTTTAATTTAAAACACTTTTTCCTTTTAATCTCTTATGGTGTATGGGTTTTTAAAAAAAATTAATTGTGTTGTTTCTGATTGTTTTTACTACAGGTAGTCCTTGACTTAAGACCATTTGTTCAGTGACTGAAATTCCAATGGTGCTGAACAAAGAGTGGTTATGACTGGTCCTCGGAGTTACAGCTGTCCCAGCAACCATGTGGTCAACTGATCATGATCTGGGAGCTTGGCAACCTGTTTGCACTTAGGACCAGTTGCCAAGCACCCTGCGATCACATGATTACCATTTGCAACCTTCCCGGTTGGCTTCCCTAGAAAGTCAGTGGGGAAGCTGGCAGGGAAGGTCACGAGTCACCAGGAAAAGTCTCCCCTATGCATCCTCCACAGCCCTGCTGCGCTGCCACTTGCCGCTGTGCACCCCCACACACCCTCCCTGATCCATGCTGCACCCTCCCCTACCTACACAGCACCTCTCGTGCACTCCCATGCACCCTCCCAAGCCATGTGGTGCCTCTCGCACACCCTCCCCAAGCCACGCAGCACCTCTTGTGCACCGCTCTACACCTACCTGCACTTTCCCCAACCCACGCAGCACCCCTTGTGCACCCCTGCACCCCCCCCACACCCTCCCTGATCCACGTGATGCCTCTAGCACACCCTCCCCTCTGTGTACCTCCTCACTCCCTCCCCCACCTGGCAGCAGCCACTTACCTACCTGCCGGCCTGGGACTTGCAATTTTCTGCTGACTTCCCCACTGACTTTGCTTGTGAGAAGCCAGCAGGAAGTTACCTCGCCTAATGACCATGGGATGCAGTTAACAGTGACAATCGGGACTGCAGGGATTGCCGTCGCTAATCCTGCCGTCGCTTAGCGACAGAAATTCCAGTACCAATCGTCGTCCAGTTCCAAGGACTACCTGTATATGCTGCCCAGAATTGTTGTTGAGTTGGGCAGCCTTATATATTTCTAAATTAAATAAATACCATAAGATAGGTATATCCAACTAATTAATTAGTTATTAAGTTATAATTCCAAAACAAATACAAGGAAAATAAAAACGAAACCCCTAAAATTAACATACAGGTAGTCCCTGGTTTAAGAACGAATTCCGTTCTTAAGGTCTGTCCTTAAGTCGAATTTGTATGTAAGCCGGAACAGTATTATTGTATAATACTGTATAAGTAGTATTGTGTAATGAACTGAAACCATTGTGTTTTTAACTTGAATCGTGTATTTAACTCAAATTTTGCTACTGTAAGCTCCATTCTTAACTATGGGTCATCTGTAACCCGGGAGTTCTTAACCCCAGGACTACCTGTACTAAATTGATATATATCACCTAAATATATCGCATATTCATTTAATAATTATATCTAATTATGTATTAAAACTGTCTGTTCTTTTAAAATACTGTATTATGAAATCTATGCCAAAAGGAAATGTGTCATTTTTTTTAATTAGTAGAAAAATAGCCTTTTAAAAAATTGATGGGTTACAGATTTCTTAAATCCAGTGTTTCATGTCTTGGGTAATAGTATATTCATTGGATGGAGCACTCCCATTTAATGCATTGAGCAGGCAGTTCTGGGTGACCTGGGCACAGACCAGATACCAGTTGGTCTGGGCATGGATTCAAAGCACCTGTGTCCCAAGCAGATGCGTGTCAGGATAGGGATTGTGGGAACAGGGCAGTGGCCATTGGGGGCAGTAGAGATGAGGGGAAAGATGGGAGAGAGGTGAGAGGGTGCGTTACATATTCCATGCTTGAATTCAACCGTGGTGGTTAAGTGGTAAAGGAAAAGAAGGTGCTGAGAAGATCAAGGCAAGAGTCGCAGGCAGGCCAGTTGGACGTGCCATGCTTGGATTCAGGTTTGCTGGATGAGGTGGCAGCTAAGGAGGCATAAAGGAAGGAAGTGACTGGGAAAGTCAGCACATAGGCCATAAGAAGGAAGAAGGGTGAGGTGTGCCAGCTGTGCCCTGCACATGTGTTAAGATCTCTCTGGGTTTTGTCTCAGCCAAAACCCAGAACAACCACTTTTTGGTTTGGCTAGGTTGTAATCCAGTTCATAGTGTGTTTGTTTCAGGTCCAAAACAAAACACATTTTCCATTTTGTGCACCCCTCACCCCCCAATAATGTAGTAATCTATCTCAGGAACAATTTCTGTTCTGGTCAGTTTCTACTGTATAGAATTGTATTTCTAATGTTGTATAGTAATAAATAATAGGAAAATGGTTTGTGGAGGCTGGAGGAAAGTGTGTGTAATAATCAATATTTTTCCTCAATATATTTGCTTTGCAGAAGGATAAAAAAGATAAATCTGAAAAGCAGAAACTGAAAAAGCATATATCCTTATTAGCAGAGACTGAGTTATTGGATTTGGAGTTGGAGCCACCAAAACCAAAGAAAATGAAAAAAAAGAAAGAAATGGCTGATAAAAATGAAGATACAGTTGCAGAATGCAATACAACATCCCGTATGAGTAATGGGGTAAACCACTCAAAAAAGGAGAATAATTCATGCGTAGACTCACAAACAGAATGTGAAAGTGATCAAGATCCGGTAAGATGATTTATTCTCTGTACTTAATACCTTTTATATGGAATGTTAATACTCTAAAGAGGGAAGGTCAGAAATTTAACCCATAAGTCAGGGCAAAGTGTAATCCTGATGGCTCATTAGTGTAATTCTTATGTGCATTTCAATTCAAATATCAAATATTTTTGAGATTGTAAAAACATGATCTTGTAGACTGGGAGTTTGAATAAACAAGCATAGAATCAAGTTGTATACCTCATTTTCTGAATTGAAATATAGTATGTGAACATTGAGACATACAGCCACTTTCTTATGATGTTCTAATAATATACAGGTAGTCCTTGTTTAGTGACTGTTTGCAGTTATGACGATGAAAAAGTAACTTCACGACCAATCCTCAGATTTACGACTTTCGCAGGTCTGTAAAGCAAAGGAAAGCTGAAGTAAGATTGCAAGCAGTGTTGTGGTTTCATTTAGTGACTGCTTCACTTAATGACCAAGTTGCCAGTCCCAGTTGTTGTCGCTAAATGAGGACAACCTGTACTGCAACAGAACATTTATTTTTTTAATCAATCAATCATATTTATATGCCATCCATCTCACAGAAACATGATTCTGGGCAGCATACAATAAAACCATAAAAAACAATAATTACAAAAATACTCTAAAATTAAAACATAAATATGATTATTATTTTAAAAAACTAAAAAGGGTAGGGAGAGCATAGATTGAGCCACCTCATTAAATCCCCATTTCCATGAGACCCCCAAGTCTATTGACATAACCAAGTTTTAAGGGACTTCCAGAAGGACATCAAGGAAGGGGCCAGTCTCACCTCGGAGTGGATGATGTTCCACAGGGCGGGTGCCACGGCAGAAAATGCCTGTCTCCTGGGTCCTGCCAAAGGTAGTTCCTTAGCAGATGGTGGGCTGGGTGGAAGTAATTGGGAAGAGGTGGTCCTTCAAATAACGTAGCTCCATGCCATGAAAGGCTTTAAAGGTCAAAATCAGCACTTTGAATTGGATCTGGAAGCAAACTGGCAGCCAGTGCATCTTGCAGAGCAGAGGTATAATGTGTGCTGTACTAGGGGCACATATAACTTCCTGTGCTGCTGCATTTTGCACCAGCTGAAGCTTCTGGACTCTTCAGGGGCAGCCTCATGTAGAGTGTATTACAGTAGTCCACCCAGGAGGTGACCAGGGCATGAGTGACCGTGAGCAGAGCCTCCCAACCCAGGAATGGGCGCAACTGACACACAATTTGTGCAAAGGTGTACAAAGGCTCTTCTAGCTACAACTGCCACCTGCTCTTCGTGTGAGTCTAGGAGGACCCCCAAGTTGTGCACCAGGTCTGTCTGGGACAGTACAACCCCATTCAGACCAAAGATGGTATAGTCCCGGAATGATAAGGCCCCAAAACCCAGAGCCACTCAGTCTTACCAGGGTTCAGTTAAAGCCTGTTATTCCCCATCCAGATCCCCACAGCCTTTAGGCACCGGGATAGGACACCAACAGCATCACTTAATTTGCCAGGGGCAGAGATGTATAATTGGGTATTATTGGGTATCATCAGGATACTGAAGGTACCTTACCCCATGCCGATGGATGAGTTCACCCAGCAGCTTCATGTAGATGTTGAATAGGAATGGAGAGAGCACTGAACTCTGCGGCACCCCACAAAGTAGAGGCCACGGGCAGGACCCCCCCCCCCCAATCACCACCGGCTGGTATCAACTCCAGAGAAAGGAGGAGAACCAGCACAATACCCACCCCCAATCCCCGGAGCCGGCCAGAAGGATACCATGGTCAATAGTATCAAAGGCCACTGATAAGTCAAGCAAAGTAAAGATGGATGCACAACCCCCGTCCCACTCCTGACAGAGATCATCCAGAAGTACGACCAATACTGTTTCCATCCCATACCTAGGCCTGAGTCCTGATTGAAAGGGATCCAAATAATCCGCTTCATCCAGGGTCCTCTGAAGCTGCTGCGCAACCACCTTCTCCACCACCTTCCCCAAAAAGGGGAGGTTAGATTTATTACAACTTTGTTTTGTTTCTTTTTGCTGGTATACTTTTATATGATTAACAGTAGTATGTAGAATTAAACAAATAAATGTATGTAAATTATGCATATTAATTATACCCTAATTATAAATGTTTGAAAACAGGAGTGTGGCCGACTACATGCCCTCTTGACTCTTTGCTATCATTGGCTCTCAGAACTCATCTTATTGCCATTATATAAGACATGTCCCCAAAAGGCAAACTGATACTGACAATTGAGATATATGTTATTATATTAAATGTCATTAAGGATCTGCCAGTCTTCCATACTGAGCTCAGTGGACCAGTGATGCAACTTAAAAGGCAGGTTCATGTGTTCATTAAACATAGCAGTAATCAAGTTCCAGAGTTATAAAATAATAGATTTCTGTGTATTAATAACTGAGAACAACCTTTTAAATCCCCAGTGTTCCTTTGTCATATTCCATATGGTGCCTGCTACCATACAAAGTAACATCAGAATACAGTTGTTAGTATTTCTCCTCTATATTTTATAAAAGCACAGCGTATTAATTTTGATTGTGATTTCCTACTCTTTGTATGTACCTCTGATGAGCTGTTTATCTTCAGCGCATTTTGTATTTAGTATTCTTAGTGAGACTATGTTACTTATTTATTTTTATTACTACTTTGTAAGAAAGTTACAAAGAAACAGCGTATAAGAATAATTGCATTTAATTTTTTTTCTCTGGGAATCTTTGAAACTGTGGGTATAGAGTAGAAGCTTTTTTCTTTCAGTTCTTTAAATATTTTTTGGAATTAAAATCTAATACTTTTTGTAACTGCTTTTTATTTTCATTTAAAACAGGAATTAACAGCAGAACAAAAGGAAGGTGCTTTTGCCAATTTTGATATCTCTAAAGCGACCCTTGATCTTCTGAAAGGTATATCCCTTGAATGTTTTTAGTCTGAAATAACTTTTCACTTCTTTTCTGAATCTGGTAGCCTGATGATCTCTACATGAGAGGATTTAATGTTAGCAGCTGAGATTCAGTATAACTGAGATATTCATAAATACATTGATACTGTCTGCAAAAGATTTCAGAAATTTCATCAAAAGCTAATTGAAAATTCAGTGTACAACAATGAAAAGAAATGCTAACTAGGAAATGGAAGAGCCATTTATAATGCTCTTACGTAAATCTGTAAAGCCAACTTTTGTTTACTGTACATTTATGTATAGCTATAAAAAAAGATACCCTAGAAGAGGCACAGAAGAGCAATTCATATATTCAAGGGATGGGAACATCTTTCCTGTATTGTTTGGATACAGAGGTTAGGCACTCATAGCATAGAAGAAGGCTTTATTCTGATGTTGCTATGGTTCTTGCTAAATCCTTCAGAATTCATGAATACATTTCGTGTCCTTTAGAAAAGCTCAAAGATAAAGTTGGGGGATAATAAGTTCTGTGACACACTCAACATTTTGTGTACAGGTAGGCAAACTATATATAGCTTGGTTAAAAATGTTAAGACAGTTAGAATTTCTTGGTGCAAACACCTGAGTAGTACCAAATCCTTTTACAATTGATACCTTACATATTTCTGCAGGGGGGTTGTTTCCACAAATTTCTGATAATTCTAGAATTCAGGGTCATATAATGCAATTGGTTGTAGCCTCAGGACAAAAGAAAGAAAATATGCCATGATCTATGGAATTAGTTGCCTAGGAAAATTTCTAGGACAGCCTTTCTCAATCTCAGCAACTTTAAGATGTGTGGACTTCAACTTCATGTTGGCTGGGGGATTCTGGGAGTTGAAGCCCACATATCTTAGAAGTTGCTGAGTTTGAAACACACTGTTCTAGGAGGATTCAGTTCATAGACCTGTTACTTTTAGGTTGAATGCTGGACTTGGATGTACCCCATGTGACTCAGCATAGCAATCTATAAAGCATTTAATGAAAACACCTCTACAGTATATTTTCTTTTTGTAAGTTTTGGTTTTGTTATAGACAAATTGAGGAGTGGTTGTGATAAGCATATATCTTTCTAGAGAAAACCTAATGGTATTCTTCCACAGCTCGTGGTGTTACCTACTTGTTTCCGGTACAAGTGAAGACTTTCAATCCTATATTTGAAGGCAAAGATGTAGTAGCCCAAGCTCGAACAGGAACAGGGAAAACATTCTCATTTGCAATTCCATTAATTGAAAAACTTGATAGAGATCCACAGGAAAGAAAAAGAGGCCGTGCACCAAAGGTAATGAAGTCACAAGTTATAAACTTGAGTGAGGGATAAAAATGAGTCTTTGGAGCTGTAACAAATACATTAATCACTCATATAATTATACATGAATGGTACGGAGTAATGCTGCTCTCATCATGTGGGCTGCAAACTTATTTGCCTGACATCTTTGTTATGTTTGATGGAATGTGGGGTGATTCAGCTTGCTCTAAGTGCTGTCTGTAGTTGTACAAGATTCTACTAATAATTGTTTGTTTGAAATTAGGTATTAGTTCTTGCTCCAACCAGAGAATTGGCAATGCAAGTTGCCAGAGACTTCAAAGATATTACAAAGAAACTTACTGTGGCTTGTTTTTATGGAGGAACAGCATATAATGGACAGTGTAAGAAAGTACAATTGGATATTTTTTGATGGTGCAACATTTCAATTTAAAAATACCTTCTTTTAAGCTGTCTTTGTTTTTTAAAATGTACATTATATTGGTCCATAATGCTTTTAAAAAGCTATTGTTGTAATGCATCATGTTCATTTGTTGAACTCAGAGAAACGTGATGAAATTGTAACATGGGTTATTTTAATGTGCTATTTGAAATAGCCGGAGAGATATATATCAAATAGTGAAAAAAATCAATTTAATCTCATTCATACTTGAAAGAATGTTTTAATGTGATCACTGGTGCTTAATTTAAAGTAAATGCTCACTGTAGCTTTAGATTCTTGCATTTCTGAAACAAATTGTTTAGAATATATATTAAATAAAACAATAGATGAAAACTGTGGGAACTTGTTTGGAGACGGATAATAGCCCAAATTCATACTAAGTAATGCTGACAGATTTCAGAATATTGGCTTTATAATAATCCTTAAGAGTTAAGTTTAATATATAAAATGTTAAAATTCCTTCCAGTGGATCTAATTAGAAATGGCATTGACATCCTGGTTGGGACTCCTGGTCGAATAAAAGATCACCTTCAAAATAACAAATTGGACATTTCTAAACTGAAGCATGTTGTCCTGGATGAAGTTGATCAGATGTTGGACATGGGATTTGCTGAACAAGTAGAAGAAATCTTAGTGAATTCTTATAAGAAAGGTAAGTATGTTGTCTGTGTATCTGTTCTGTTCTGGGATCTTCTGTATCTGGGTCTTAATGCTCAGAGAATATGTAAGGGATAAAGTACTTGTCTAAGAAAACCAGTTGGTCCATTCAGTCACTGATTCTTTGTTAAAGAATCATATGTTAAATTTAATTTGGGACCAGTTGTAATGTGTAATAGGGCCTGAATATAAAGAAATGGAATATATTTAAAAACCTGTATCAAAATACCTGGCTTTGTAAACTGCTAGTGAAGAATAGTGAGATCCTGAAAAGCTACTACATGGGATACAGGTGGTCTTCAGTTAATGACAGCAACTGGGACCAAAATTTCCATCACTAAGGGACACGGTCGTAAAGTGCGACATCACGTTGCCATGTTGCTTAGTGACAGCAGTTCCGGCACTTTCTGGTTGCTGTCATTAAGCAAATCCTGCACCATCGTTAAGTGAGGCTGCCACGTTGCTATTTGCAACCTTTCTACCAGCTTCCCCATTGACTTTGCTTGTAGGAAGCCAACAAAGAAGGTCACAAATGGTGACCACATGACTGTGGGATGCTGTGACAGCTGGAACTTCAAGGACAGGTCATAAGTACCACTTGTTCAGGGCCATTACAAGTTTAAACAGTCACTGAATGAGTGGTCATTAAGTGAGGACCACTTGTATTCTAAAAGCATTTCAGGAATTATTTTCAATCATAATTGCTTCCATTATTTATTTTCTTGCTGGCCCACTTTGGAACTGTTTGGCAGTAATTACAGCACCCAAATAATAATCAGTTTCCCCTTTGTTCTGACATGTGTTCTTTTGCTGATTGTATTTTACATAGCTATTATTAGAGATGTACAAAACGTTATGAATTCAAATCATTGAATGCTATTTTGCTCATTTGGGGAATGTTTCAAACCTGAAATCTGTTTTGATCTTCAAATAGGATGCTGCAAACTCAAAGCAGGGTAATCAGATTCAAAAGATGTTGTATATTTCCAGATATTATGATATAACATGTTCTTGCTTGCTCTTTTATTATGGAAATATTTGATTGTTTTAAGTTTGTAAGACATGTATTATTTCTTTGTTTAAGACTCTGAAGATAATCCGCAGACACTCTTGTTTTCTGCAACTTGCCCTCAGTGGGTTTACAAGGTAGCAAAGAAATACATGAAATCCAAATATGAGCAAATTGATCTTATTGGAAAGAAGACTAAAAAAACTGCCACGACCGTAGAGGTAAATTAACTTTTTATAATAGCACAAGATTATGGTGCTATTGGTGCTTCTGGTAACCACATCTTGACCCCAGTCATGAACATGTACTCATTACACCCTTTCCCAAGGGTGTCTGCGGGGTGTGGTCAAAAAAGTCAAGATGGCAGGCATAACTGTGCAATTGAAATTTCACCTTTTTTATGTCTGTCGCCCCCACCCTTTTCTGTTCTTTAATTGCTAATTGACATGGCTTTGCATTGACAGCACTTGGCCATTGAATGTCATTGGTCCCAAAGAGCTGCAGTGATTGGAGATGTTATTCAAGTCTACAGTGGAAGTCATGGACGAACCATAATATTTTGTGAGACAAAAAAAGAAGCAACTGAACTGGCTCTTAATGCCTCAATAAAACAGGTACGGTGACACAAAAATATGAAAAAGAAATTTAAGTTGATCACTAGGTCACCAGAGAGTGATTAACAACTTACTCATGTGTGGGATATTCTTGAAAGCGATTTGTTTCAAAATGCTTTCAAATTCACAAACTGGTTGATCTTCTCTTTTTCTTTTTTAAGCTTTTATTATAAGATTACTTATGATCCATGACTGCAATGCCTCTTGATCTCTCAGAGTTTCTGAACACAATTTACCTTGCTTATCTGACATTCTTTACTTTCTGCTGTTCAGTGAGAGTTGATCTTTTCTGTGCTTGATTTCTCTCCCTTGAAATGTTGCCTTTTTTCCAAAGAATAGTTTTAATACCAATCCCAATTTGCATTTATAAATAGCTTTTGTTCAGTTTGTGACATTATATATTTGGATACAAAATCTTATGTATATGGTTCAAGTAAAATGAGATTTGTGGCAGATGTCCATATTGTATTTATTTCCCCTTTCTTTTAATATACACCAGTTGTTCTTTGATAATGTTTCTGACCATATTGGCACTTACCGATTTCCAAAATGACTTACATGTTTTGCAAGGGGGGGGGAATCTCATTGAGTGGATGTCCAGCTGTTGTATGGTATTCTGGGGTGCCAGCCATAGACATTTGGAGTAAAATTGTTTGCACATGAAATTTGGGAGATAATGGTGGGGATCAAGAAAGAGGCGGACTTGACAGCCAGGAATTGGGTGCAGATTGGCTGTGGTCTGTCACTGTTAGCAGTAATAGAGGAGGGATGGAGTAGGTAAGGCATAAGCAGGTATCCTTCAAAAGGAGACCAGAACAAGAGAAAAGGAAACTTAGCTCTGGAATGAATAACATCATGGAGATTAGCTGACGGAATATACGGAGACTTCTGGGGAGACTTTTCTAGTTCAAAATGTGGGGTTGCAATGTTACCTGCAGCGTTTCTGTCTTGAAGCAGTTTAGTGTTAAAATACTTTGTACCTCTTATACAGACTATCAAGTGGAGAATTTGACATTTAAATTGAATTGGGGGAAATCACTCCTATTAATGTGGGTGGTTCTCCCTCTGATTTCTTTCTTGTTTTATGTATGTAGGATGCACAGTCTTTACATGGCGATATTCCACAAAAGCAGAGAGAGGTCACATTGAAAGGCTTTCGTAATGGATCGTTTGAAGTTCTGGTTGCAACTAACGTAGCTGCTCGTGGTTTAGATATTCCAGAAGTAGATCTAGTAATACAGAGTTCACCACCAAAGGTACAATACTAGTTTTGGGCAGAGGGAAAAGTTATGTGTACAGAAACATACTGCTTAATGTAGCTTACTTACAGTGACCAGAAAACATTTTTAAAGCTTGCTGCAAAGAGGACTTAAGATCCTTATGTGAGTTGCTTTTTCTTTTCTGCTGGAAAACACAGTACAGTTGAAGTGAGAAAGCTGGAAAATTATTTTTATTTCTTCAAAGGCAGAACATTTATTCTGTCTCTTACAATGCTGCTAAAATTTGCTATCCTGTCTATCAGCATGTTGGGGAATGGGGGTGGAGCAAATTCCAGATATTTTACAAGGTTTTCATTATTGTTATTAAATCAATATTACTGTATGCATATCCATGAATACTTAGTAATTCTTCATGAATTCTACTTGTAATGGTGTAAGTTTACTCAAATATCATCTTGCTGTTCAAGAGGTTTCTAAACAGATCTTTCTTTTGAACCGATTCTAACATTGTTAAAAAGTTGAATTTTCACCATATATGACATACAGTGGTGGCATAAATAATTTCCTGTTGAGGCAATTCATAGCGTACACAGATATCTTCACCTCGTTTTTCTGCTGTTGTTAAAAACACTATTTTAAAGAGTGTACCATTCATTATAGTTAATAAATAGTAAATGAAATGTTGGCTTCTCTGTAACATGTGTAACTATATCTTATGAATATTCTTTGTAAAGGATGTAGAGTCTTACATTCACCGCTCTGGACGCACAGGCCGAGCTGGACGAACTGGGGTTTGTATCTGTTTCTATCAACGCAAGGAGGATTATCAGCTGAAACAAGTAGAACAAAAAGCGGTAATTATTTCTAGATTTCTTAATGGAATTTGTGACATCTGTGTGTGCTGTGATTTTTAAAAAGCCATATAGTTTTTTAAAGTGCTTTTTACAATTTTGACTAAAATGTTAGGACTAGTTATCTGACCAACCTTTGTCAGTGAAACAGTGTGCTTTCTACTTTTAGGGCATTACATTTAAACGTGTAGGTGTTCCTACAGCAACAGACATAATTAAAGCCTCCAGTAAAGATGCAATCAGGTATGTTAATTCTAAATATAAAGTAAAAATTAGTATCTGAAGTGACATAAGCAGCTTTATGACAGAAGCACCACTCATTTTTTATGTGTGTTGTGTTATATGCACACCCAAAGAGGCGGAGCTTGCACCACCACTGCTTACTAAAGCAGTGAGATACGGCAGATGCCACTACCATTATGCATTAGTTTCTGTTTGAACATTTCATAAGCATACAAATAATTCATTCTTCGTTTCAGTGGTTGTGTAAATACTAATTCTTCAAAGTTTTTATTCAGATCTTTGGATTCTGTACCTCCATCTGCCGTTGACTACTTCAGACAATCTGCTGAACGGCTGATAGAAGAAAAGGGGGCCGTGGAAGCTCTGGCTGCAGCCCTGGCTCATATTTCAGGAGCTACGTCCATTGAACAGCGTTCTTTACTCAACTCTGATGCGGTAATAAATAAAGGGCTCACAGAGTTTAGTGGTTATTTAAGCACATCCTGATTTTCCTAATGTGGCATGTATAATGACCTAAGGAATATTTTTTTAAAATTTATGCATTATATATTTGCATATTAGTATGTTTTCAAAAAGGCCTGTACAGGTATAGTTTTTAATTACAATTAAGAAATCATAAACAGTTGCTCCTGTGACAGTGATTTTTCCCCCTTCCCCCTGGTGCTCATTAACATATAGATCAATACCAATACCATTCAGGATTTGGCTGGCTAGCCTTGCCTGGGTATAGGGGCTTACTTAGTACATGGTTGGGAAACTGTAGAGAGTAAAGAAGATGACCTTGATGGCAATAGGCAAGATGCTACCAGGGCATGGATTATTCTAATCTATCCAAGTACAGCTGTAGCTGGTAAATTGGTGTAAAGTAGTAAAAAGCATTGTGTCTCCAAAGTTAAAGAAATATTCCTGGAATTATTTAATATTTCCTACACTGAAGGCACTTAGACCCATTTGGGCATTACTGGGTAAAAAATTCAAATTTAAGCTTAGCTCTCAAGCAAAATTGACTGAAATTATTCTTATTTTTAAAAAGTCAGGAAAAAATCTTTCTTTTCAAAACATGGGTGGAAAACAGGATAGTTAATCAGTTAATTATTGATACTTGAAAAACTTTTTAAAAATTACAAAGGAATGTGCCAAAAACAGTTTGAATGGCAATATATTCAGTTAAAACTTTGTATGTTCCTTGTTTGGTCCAGTGGCATTCCCTGCCTCTGAAACCCCTGTGATTTTGAATGTATTTCTTTTTTTTTTTTAATAAATTTTTTATTCTTAAAAAACAATCTTATCAAACATCGAGCAGCGA